CCCTAAACCCTAAACCCTAGGTCCGGGAACACAGCCGTGGTCGGAGCTCACTGGGATGACGCAGAGGACGTCAACGCCTTGCACTCAGCTGGAAACCTCTGGGGCTCTGTGCGGTGACCATATGAGTCATAGTTTAAAGGGTTTAGGGTTTAGGATCTAGAATCTAAACTCATAGTACCCCCCGTAAAAATCCAAATAATGTAGGGTTTAGAGTTTAGGGTTTAAGGTCTCAACTCCTGGTATCCCCCTACACACCCCCTTGTCATACTCCGCTATATTATCCTCTTCAAGGAGTTTCGACTACAGTTCATCTCATCCCCTAAATAATTCCAGTTTCCATTTTCTTTTCCATTTGATTCTGCATTATACGGCTTATTAAGGGGGATGCTATACATTATCCTCTTTAAGGAGTTTAGACTATAGCTCACATCTGGCAACAAGCATGAAGCCCACCTTCTGCCCAGCTGAGTAGTAGTTTATGTGGGGATACTATGGTTCCCTTATATAAAGTCAGATTATATCCTCCCTTTGGGGTATAGTATTTTGTATAAGGAATCTTATCTTATTGGGTTTAACCACCAAAAACACGCTACCCAGCTTCTCTTCTGACAACCTTCAAGCCTGCACGCGGTCGTCCTATGCATGAGCTCAGGGTGGGGCAGCCTACATCTACACTCGGCCTCTTGGCACCATTTCTACGTCATCTGGGGGATTGTCAAAATTATGGTCCCTTTTTGGGTACCCTAAATATTAGGCCCCGTATTATAATAGGGACCCAAAAAGGGACCATAATTTTGACAATCCCCCATCTACTTCTTTATTTTTGGTATATTTGGGGCTGGGGACCAGGATGTTATTGATCAGGGCGTGGCCTTGGGTTTGCACGGGCCGTGCAAAGCTCAACCAGACAGTTTCTCCGTGATGTTGCCCTGCAGTGCACGTCGAGGCGAAGGGAGAACCAGGGTCCCCCTGTGTACCACACAAATCTTGGGAGTGCTTTTCTACAACGCTGAAAGGGACGCACTATGTGCCAAAACAAGCCAATCGCTGGGGCGTCATTCTGGCAATATTTTGCCCTGCAACATCTTGAGCGCTGTCGGCTACACATTCTTTCATGAGCTATCTGAGCTATAGTCCAAACTCCAAAACTATATAGGGGGAGTATTATAGGGTCATTTAGGGGGCTACTAACATCTCGATTTACCTGGTATCCTCAAAGCACGGCAAGCCAGCCAAGGAATGCCACGAGCTGGGATCAAGGCACCAAAATCCATGCCTGGGACGGTACCGACAAGGAACAAAAGCTCTTGAGCTCCAGCTTCAGCCTTCTGGAGAGATTCAGTCATGACAGTAATAATAGCAATGGTACCAATACTAAAACAAGAAAATAGCAATAATAGTGCTAGTAGTAACAGTAGTGATAGTAATAGGAATCACAGCAAGAATGGTAATATCAGCAACAATACCAAGTAGCAACCACACTTCTAATAGGAACATTAGCAATGATAGTAATAATATAGCAATAATATAGTAATAATAGGAATACCCTAAACCCCAAAGCCCTAAACCCTAAAACCTAAACCCCAAACCCCAAACCCTAAACCCCTAAACCCTAAACCCCTAAACCCTAAGTCTTTGTCTTCTCATTCAGGAGGATCGCTTCGGGATTGCCGTCGACATCTCAGGCTCGTGCAGTCACACCATAGGAGATCTGAAGCGGAAGTGACAAATCCGTGCTGTAGTACAAAGGAATGTATAGGGGTTTAGGGTTTAGGGTTTAGTACAACGTGTTGGGGGATTAGTAGGGAATCAGGGAATACATATATACATATATACAATATACAGGTGTATATATATATATATGCCTACAGATGTAGGGTTTATGTAGGGATTATATTCCCTTGCTAGGGATGCCGAAGCAATCCCACCTCTCGCTCCGTCAGTGTGCGTGGATTTAACGATTTGCCTGGCTCCAATGCCGTGAAGCCTGCTGATAATGGGCTTTAATTTAAGTTTCTATATTGGGGAAACCATCCTTATTGCTATGTCTACTCATTATGGAAGCTTGATTTGAGTTCCTGGCTGATAATGGGTCTGTCTTCCAGACCCTGTGAAGAATGGCTGATTCACAACTACTTGCCAGAAGTTGTTTCAGATCCCCAACCTGCTCTGCAAGACTGGGCACAAGATGGGTTGGATTACCTAGGGGGGTGGTTGTGGTATTAGTGCCAGTACTGGTTTTAGGAAACCATGCTAGTACTAGGAAGTACAAGTAATGGTAGTAGGATCACACAGGGAGTTATTTCAAGGTCGGAACCCTAAACCCTAAACCCTTTGCAGGCAACACCATGATCGTGGGTGCTTACTTTGACAGCGACCATGGCGTCTGGAGTGGTCTGCGGCCTAGCTGTTTGTGTACGTGTTGCTGCTGGTGCTACAACAACCACTACTACTGCTACTACTATTATTATTCTTCATGTTGTCTTATATTAATGATTACGATCACCATAGTAACGATAATCAGATTCATCATTGTCACTCGCATTAATTACATCATATTACGTATGAGATTAATGAATTGTCGTTACCATTGCGCTTAGTAGTGTTAGTGTTGATACTGCTATCAGTATAAGCATTATAATAGTCACTATTCTATTGGTATACTATACCTCAGCAGGGCCCCCCCACCCTGTAATAGTGGTACACTAGGAATATAAGAGGACCTCAACATAATCCTGATTATCCCTTGCAGTCATTATTACAGGGTGGGAGGCGCATCTAAACCCCAACACTGAACTCTAAACCCTAAACCCCAATCCCTAAACCCTAAACCCTGAACCCCAAACCCTAATCCGTAAACCCTAAACCCTACATCTTCCCCCAAACCCCGATACCTACCTGGGGTACTCATGCCCGGGGGCTCCACCTAAGTTGTTGGTAGTGCAGCATCCATCTCCATGAGCTTCCCGCCGCCTGACCCTGGCTTTCTATCTTCCATGTGAGAGTTTCTCAAAATTAGGGGTACCTTTTTGGGGGTCCCTATAATAAGGACAATAGTATTTTGGGGTCTATATTGGGGTCCCCTTATTTAGGGAAACTACCATGTGGGTAGATCTCAAAATTGGGTTTAGGGTTTAGGGGTAATATTGGGATAATGGAAAAAATAATGGACGCTACTACAATGGGGTTCTTTTGGGTTTAGGGTTAGGGTAAAATTGGGATGATGCAAAAGAAAATGGAAACTACCGTTCAAGGTCTAGGGTTTAGGGTGAGAGTCCCATTTTGGTAACCCTAAAAAATTGGGCGCCGTAGCATAATCCATAACCAAAAGGGGCCCATAGTGTTGAGAATAACCCATGTGCATGGTATGTCTGAAGGTTAAAAACCAGCATGCTAAGGGTTAACGGGCTAGCATAAGGGAGCGCTGATTGGCCGAGAGCAGGACAGCCCCAGCCCCAGAGAAAATTCAGGGGAAAGCGCAAGCCTAAACCCTAAATCCTGGACCCTAAACACTTAACCCTAGACCCTGAACCCTAGATCTTAAACCCCCTTTTGTCCGACCCTGCGAGAGGACTACAAAGGAGCGCTAAAAAAAAAGAAGAAGATCTTAAACCCTCAAGAACCTAAACCCTTAGCCTTGCAACCGCAGTTTGCCGTTGAACCAGCTTTCTCCCCTTGGCCAGGTGCAGCTTACGTCCTGATGCAGGTGGATTTGCCCCCAAGCTTTGCCACCGCAGAGCCATGCAGAGCAATTTCCTAACTGGTTCTTTTCAGGGAATATGGGAGTATATTATAATACTCTATCATATGTTTATTATATTATAGTATAATGTTGTATATTGTATTCTATTGTATAGAGTTTAGGGTTTAGGGGTAGTAGAGAATTATAGAATATATCATATAGGGATTCGATTCTATAGGGGTTATATTGCCTTAATTTCTACAAAGAACCAAAGAGTTTGACCTTCAGAAATGCCAGGTGGACGGGCTTTGGAGCTTCCAAGTTTGCGACTTAGTCACCAGCTTTCTCCAGCTTTCGGGGGAACTGAAGGGATCGCATAAGTGTCTCCCTTGAGAAGTTCGGCAGGATCCGGAATATATGATCTATAGTCTAAAATCCTTAAATGGGATAATGTAGAAGATTATTATAAGGGTTCTTAAGGGGCATACTTTAGGAGGACTTCCCACCCTGTAATAGTAGTATAATAAGAATATAAGAGGACCTTAATATAAGCCCTATTATCCCTTATAGTCACTATTACAGGGTGGGGGGTCCACCTAAACCCTACCTAAACCCTAAACCCTAAACCCCAAACCCTAAACCCTAAACCCTACTTGTAGTTTATGTGATGGACCTTGCTGAGGAGAAGGTGGTGTCGAGCAACGCATCTGCCGGGCATTACTTCGGGAGGTCTGTGGGTGTCTGGGACAGCTCCGGGCTCAGAAAAGGGTTTAGGGTTTAGGGTTTGGGTTTGGGTTTTAGGGTTTAGGGGATCTCCAGGCTCAGAATTGAATGATGAAGTAATAGTAATATAATTAAGGAAATGAAAGGGAACAAGAAGCAGCAATAAGGATGACAGTAATCATGATAATAATGATGGTTCTAAGACTGATAATAGCAGTATCATAATAACAATAGTAAGTTTGGGAAATGAGAGGTTATGACGGTGTGTTTTCTGAGCCTGCGAGGTCAGTTGGGGCCTTTCACCATTGCCGTGGGGGCGCCGGGTGCGAACAGCAGCTTCGTGTTTGAAGGAGGCCAGGCAACATCCCCTTTTTGATTCCCCATCATCCTGATTCTTTTAGGCCCCTACCCCTAAACCCTGAACCCTAAAACAAGTGGGTAGCCACTGTCAGGGTTACCAACCTCGACAACAACCACGACGAGAACTAGCAGCACAACGATCACCAGCACCAGCAGTCTTAGCAGCACCAGCAGCAGCACCACTTCGCACACATTCACGAGTACGACAACTCGGTCACTCAGCCGCAGAGAGTGCAGCAGGCGGCCGTTTTGCATGTGATCTATATTCTAAACTCCATAAAGGGGGTTACATAGGGGATTATTTAGTGGACTACTACAGGGGTTATTCAGGGGGATACTAGGAGTTTAGACTATAAGTTTCCTGGCGACGTTGCTGAGGTCCTCGACTGTGACGTCGTCAACGTCTATGACTTCAACTACAACAGCTTCAACCTCTGTCACAACCACCACGAGCCCTTTGGCCAATATTGGGGGCAATATCCTTATATATATATATATATAACCCTTAAATAATCCCAACATTGGGGTAATACTCATATACATATATATATATACACCCCTAAATAACCCCAATATTGGGGTAATATCCTGATATATCTATATGTCACAACCGCCAACAGCTTCTTGGCGAGCAGTGCGTAACCTGCTCCAAAGTATAGCTGGGTGGGGCAACTGAGGCAGCACATCAGTGTCCACCACAAACACAATGACAACAAGCGCCTGGCCTTGGACAATTAGGGTTTAGGGTTTAGGGGGATGTTGCAAAACAGGAAGCAGTGTTTGGTGCACTTTGCTGCTACAGTGGCCAGGCACATCAAGCTCAGCAACGAGGACCAGTAGCACAACATCTTCCATGACTCTGACCTCATCCACGCGAACAAAGACCAGTGGAACGACCACCTCACTGACCTTGCACCGCGCTTAGTGATGGCCATTGCTGGTAGCATGCTGCAGCTGCTGTACGTTTAGCCTGTTTGCTGGAAGCTGAGGACATCTAGCACAGACACCAGCTCTGTGTCAAGCACTACAAGCGCGAGCAGAACCACAACAACCAGCGAAAGCAGCACCACAAGCGAAAGCACCTCGAGCACAACAACTTCGACTTCTAGCCTTTCTGGCGCAGAAGGTTCGAGTGGTGGTAGTGGTGGAACTGGTGGTTCAACTGGTGGTTCAACTGGTGGTTCAACTGGTGGTTCAACTGGTAGTGCAACAGGAGGCACAACCGATGGGTCTGGGGGTACCAGTGGAGGCGGGACTGGAGGCGGATCTGGTGAAGGTGGGACTGGAGGTGCAGATGGGGATGCCTCTGGAGGTTCCACCGCCTCAATCGTTTCCATTTTGTTGTCCATTATCCCAATATAACCCTAATATAACCCTAGTATAACCCTAATATAACCCCAATATAACCCCAATATAACCCCAATATTGGGGATTCCTCTGGAGGTTCTACCGGAGGTTCTACCGGAGGATCGGGCGGCTCAGCTGGGGGAAGTTCGGGCTCTGGAAGTCCCAACATTGGGGTTAGGGTTTAGGGTTTAGGGTTTAGGTTAGATTGGGGTTATATTGGGGTTATATTAGGGTTATACTAGGGTTAGATTGGGGTTATCTTAGGGTTATATTGGGGTTACATTGGGGTTATATTAGGATTATATTGGGGTTATATCTGGTGGTTATATCTGGTGGTACATCAGGAGATTCCAATGGTTCTGGTTCCAGTGGCGGCGTTGGCGCTGGAGGCGAGCCTGTTGACTCTGCTGACACGGGCCAGTGGGGCTTTGAGGCCCGGAAGTCTGTGGTTATGGGGCTTAGGGTTTAGGGTTTTAGGGTTTCAGGGTTTATGGTTTAGGATTTAGGGTTTAGAGTTTAGCATTTAGGGTTTAGAATTTAGGATTTAGGGTTAGGGTTGAGGGATCCTCCGGATGTCAATCCAGACGTATTTTGTAGCTGTTGCTAGCATGATAGTTTCCCAAGAATAGGGGGACCCGAATATAGACCCCAAAATACTACAATCCTTTCATTGGGAGCCCCCAAAAAGGTGCCCCTAATTTTAGGAACCCCTAATCCTTATGTATCCCTATAGTACCCCGATAGAACCCCTATATCCCCCTTTT